ATTTCACAGACTGGTAGGAAGAAGAAGCCATTTAGGTTGGAGAATAGGGTAGAATGGAGCTGGTCTGACTGATAAGGGACCCTGCCAAGGACGGAACCTTTGCTGCAGGGTGGGAGTATAGCTGGGTGGCAAACACAGGTGAAATCATGGCCAAGTCTTTGGGACATCAAGCAGCCCAGTGTTGTCAAGGCAGCACATGGAATTCAGTCCTTATCATTCAGTTCTTTTGGTTAAATGTTTATAGTGTGGGTGGGGTACGGGAAGATCAGGTAGTATCTGGGCCTGCTGCCAAGTTAGGTACTGTTGGGTCAAGGTTAGAGACACACCAGCTCTCTGGACTATTAGAAAGATGAGGTCCAGCTGGCCATTCAGATGGAATAGCAATGATAGATAGATAGATAGATAGATAGATAGATAGATAGATAGATAGATTTAAAGCAAAATTTCCCCATGAATGTCTTCTTCTCTAGACACCAAACTTGTAAAGACTACTTGGAAGTTAGTTATGAGAAGGACAAGAAGAAGAAGAAGGAGTATGAGAATGTGTATAGTACTTATGTGCCAGACAATCTTATAGGTGCCTTTAATAATTCATTCACTTAATCTTTACAACACCCCTATAAAGCCACTGCTATTATTATCACTGGTTTACAAATGAAAAACAGGTACAGTGACTAGCCAAAATCTAAATGCCTGATCTGTGAGAGGCAGACGAATGTGGTGGATGAATGCAGAGTGCAGAGGTGGTTTGCTTAGCTTGCATTTGGGTTTCATCAGATCTGTGGCTTTTGGAAGATTATTTAATCTCTTTGTATTTTTGTTTCCTCAGTAGTAGTATAATAATAATTGTCTTATGGGGTGATTGAAATGTTAGCTACCATTATTGATTAGGTGCAGAAGTTACCCCAACCAGTTTCTGAGGGAAAATCTTAGCCTAAAGCTGTAGCCAGTGTGGAGGTGTTTGTGATAGGATGAGGTCGCTCAGATCATGTTAGAAATTCTTTATATTTCTTTACAAGTTCTAAGTAATTAGAAGCTTTGCATGAAGAAGATCACTAAGGTTTATTTTAAATAATGATCTTTTAAAGATTCTTCTCTTTTAAGGGTATTGATATTTTGAAAGCAAAACCAATGTCTGTTACATTAAAATTAATAAATTTATTGGATAGCCTTTGATAAATAAAAGTATCAAATTCTGGAGATTCCTCTGTATTGTCATCTGTAACACTCATAGGTAAGTTGAGCAAAAGACTACTTACAGGACAGTGTGTAGAGATTGTTCTAGAATGTTCATGTAAAAGACACTTTTTGTATTCTGGTAGGAGGAAGGGAACTTGTCTTGAAATGTCCTGTCATAGCCAGTACATATTGTTTATTTGGGTGGCTGGAATATGGACAGTAATAGAAAAAATAAACTTTCCCAGTCATTTGTTGCTTCATCCATTCTGGTAGCAGTAAATAAGAAGTACAAATAAAAGACTTATTTTTTATAATGGGGGCTTTTTATATGAACAAAATGTACTTATTTTCTCATTAGTTAGTATTCCAGTTCTATATATAATTTCACACATAATTGTCCTTTGGAAATTACAAAAATACAGAGAACTTGCTAATGTGTCTCCACAAACCCTATTATGCTTATCAGTTTTTATTTTTTACAATGAGCTGTGTTAAATCAACATTTGTTGAGTAGTTTCTACCGAACCATCAATAATTCTCAGTTGTGTTTGTGATTTTATCCTTGCAAGACAGATTTGTTTTAGCAATTCCAAGTGAGTGAAGTGAAGCAGGTGATCTCTAAGAATTCTATTTTTTTAAAAAAGATTTATTTATTTATGCATACAAGAGCTCTGGGGTACAGGCCAGAGGTGTGGGAGGGATCCTCTCTGGTGAGAGGATTCACCAGAGACAGAGTGGGGAACAGAACAGGCAGACTGACTGAAGTAAAGTACACTGCTGAGGGGAGCAGCGGGCGAGTCAGGAGAGGTCTGCTGCGCTATGTGGGTTGCTCCCTGGCAGCCTGGGGGATCAAACTTGTGCTGCAGAGGCTGTGGACAGCTTTATAGGTTGCTTCTTTACCCCTTGTGCCATCAGGGAGGCCGTCTAAGAATTCTTTTAATGTTAATACTCTATGATGATCAAATCTATCATGGAGAGATCATGGTAAGAAAAATAGAGGTTTTGGAAAAACCTGGGGATGTTTTAGCTTTCTAGTACAGAAGGAATTCTAGTGGAATAAAATTGATTCTATATAAATTGTATTTACTAGTTAAAAATTGGTATATTAAACTGCTTTTGGTGTTGATGAATGCACAGGTAGTATGAAGTGGTGTGGCCAAGAAGCCCAAGTGGCTGAGAGAACACATTGGATTCTGATGCCTGGGTTTTACTCCTGGATCCACCACTTAGCAGCTAGTCACTGTACCTGGTTTTTCATTTGTAAACCGATGGTAATAATAGCAGTGTCTTTATAGGGGTGTTATAAAGTACATAAGTACTGGACACATTTTCATACTCATTTTTTTAAAAAAGATTTATTTATTTATACAGGCACTGGGTACAGTCAGAAGCACAGGAGGGTGAGAGAATTCACCAGAGACAGACCGCAGAGCAGAACAGACTGACGAAATGCACTGTTGGGGGGGGCAGCGGGTGGCAGGGGGGGTCTGTGCGCCATGTGGGGCCCTCGCCCGGTGGCTGGGGATCGAGCCGGCGCTGCAGAGGCTGCAGGCAGCTTCGCAACCCAGTGCTCAGCCGCTGCACCACTGGGGAGGCCCCCTTCATACTCATTTTTCTTGTCCTTCTTGTAGACATAGTGTAGGGTAAGGAAAAATATCAGGCTTTTCTGCCCTCCGCCATCAGGATAGATGATGGATCCTTGCGGGCCTGAATGCATGCTTGATGGCGGGCACCTGGAGTAGGGAGTGGGCATAAGTAGATGGGATTCACCTGGGCTGAGACTGTGCTTTTAGGGGCGGCGTCACTGGGACGCCAGCAGCAGCAGCAGAAGCCAAAAGAGAAGAAGCCCGAAGCAGAAGCAGAGAACGCCAGAGAGCCCAGATAGAGTGAAGATTTGCAGGGGGCTGGGAGGACTGCCAGCCCCCTTGCCTGCCATATGCCTGGTGAACCCCAATAAAAACCACTGCAAAAACCACTCAGGACTCTGACTCCTCCTTTACCCCGTCTGCATGGGATCAGAAAACCTGCACTGTTCCTGCCCCTACACATAGCTAACTTCCAAGTATTTACAAGCTTGGTGTCTAGAGAAGAAGACATTCATGGGGAAATTTTGTTCTTCAGATTAAATTAAACATTCTGTCATCTTTTTATCTAGTTTTTTCTTGAAGTCCCAGAATTTAAAGGCACTTTAAAAAAAAAATAAAGTACATTAGACCAAAAAAAAAAAACTACATAAAAAAATAATAAAGGCACTTTTTCAATTCTCCTTTTCAATTCACCTTTTCCCCCAATTTTCATTTATTGAGAGCTTTTTTTTAAAAAAGCCTAGTATTCATGAAATTGATGTCAAAAGGCAAATAAGCACTATTTTACAGAAGGAGAAGCTCAGCCATTGTCCTGAAATGGTTTTAAAGCAGGTGATCTGCTGAAAGTGCTGCCTTTAATATCACATGGTCACTGGAAATCCCATGACACTTCACTAAGACTTAAAATTATTCATCTCTACTTCTTGGCAAGAGTACAAGTTTGAGATTAAATTCCCTTTAAGTGGTTAAGGGATTTACAGTATCCCCAACCCTTGTGCCCCACCTGAAGCTTTTAAGTAGTTTTGGTCTCCTGCAGGCGGGGGATGTGGCCTCCAGGTGGCTGTAGATGAAGACACACCTGCCACTCACAGGCTTAGTGTGGAGCAGATCACGCTTAGCAAATGTCCTGGACCTTAGCTTTGTGGTTTCGAGTGCTTTCCTTTTGTAAACTAGAAATTGAGAAAATTTCTTTGTCACTTAAGAATCGCTTAAAGCCTTCATTTTTCTACGGTCCTTGTGAGAAAATACCCTGTGACCATGTAGTTCTTTGAGAAATGTTTTAAAGACAGTGCAGGAGAAAGCTCAGAGGGGTCCCTGTAGTCGCAGAGAGGACTTCCCTGTGATGAGGGGTAATTCTTTTGCGTCATTCTTCTCTTTTCTTTCAAACAATTGTCAACGTTACAGAAAAGTGTTCCAAAGAAATGACATAAAACAATCAGAAAATAAGGAGCGTCTCAGGTACTAGCTTTCAAAACCTGGCAAGTGCCATCAATCGGGATTTTTAATTGCGGAGAGATTTTTGCCTTTCGTGTGGTGCCCAGACCCCTCTTCCATCATTTGAGTCCAGTGTCTGTGTCCCGAGGACCTCGATTTACACGAGAAATATTTCAGTTCCAGCTGCTCTGTGTCATCTCGTCTTCCCGAGGCTCTCATGCCTGCCCTGTTTTTGCTAGATGACTGCGGTGCGCGGGGTGGCCTGGGCTCCCCCTTATTTGTGTCTTTGCTGCAGGCAGAGCCGCCACGGAGTCTGGCGCGGGAGGGGGGGGAATCCCCGCTCCACCATAGCCCCGGGGGCGTGGCCTGCCCTCGGGGCGTGGCGTGGGGCGTGGCCTGTCTCCGGGGGCGGGGCGCGGAGGGGCGGGGCCTGTCTCTGGGCGGGGCCTGTCCGCGGAGCGTGGCCCGCGGCGGGCGCGTCTCAGGTTGGCGGCTGCGAGCCGAGCCCGCGGCGACGGCGGCCGTGGCCGGAGCGGGTGCTCGTGGCCCCGTGCGGCGCCGGCGTTTCCCTCGGCGGGTCGCTCGCCCGGGCTGCAGCGGGAGGTCCGGGGCGCGCAGCGCGGCAACTCGTCGCTCCGCCGCGGGGCTCCCCGGTGCACGGCTGGTGCTCCCCGGCGCCGCGGGCGCCCCAGATCCGCGCAGCGCCCGCCGCCGGCTCGCCCCGGGGCCCCGCGCGCCAGGCTTCTCCAGCGCCCGCAGCGGGGCGCGCGGGCAGGGGCGTCCGCGGCCGGGGCCGGCCCGCGAGGATGGGCGCGCGGAGCTGGCGCGCGGGCTGCCGCTGCCTGCTGCTCCTGGCGGTGGCCGGGTCTCTCCGCAGCGAGGGCGCGCGGAGCTGCGAGGAAGTTGGGAAACTTTTCCAGGGGCGCCTGGCGGGAGCTGTCAAGGGGCTGCCGGATTCGCCGCGGCCAGGTGAGGCGAGGCTGGCGGCAGGGGTCGGAGCCGGGGCGCGGGCCGGGGCGTCCTGGCGCGGGCGCCGCGCCCCCGGGCTCCGGGGTGGCCCCTCCTGGGGCGATGACCCTCCCGGCCCTGGGGCGCTGCGGGGAGCCCGGGGAGACCTCTGGGGGGCCGGCGGGCGGGCACATCCCGGGGCCGCGCATCTGCGGGCCGTCCTGCCGGCGCCTGAGCGAGCCGAGCCCGGGCGCTGCTCCCGCGCGGGGCCGGCTCCCCGCGAGCGCGTCTGCGGGAGCCCCGGGACGGGCCGGGGGAGAGCGCGCTCTGGCCGCCGTTTAGTGCCCGGTGGGAATGTCCCCGGTGCCCCGCGGGGTGCCTCGCTTGGCTGCGTTCGCGTCTGTGGCCGGAGTTGGGGTGGCGCTCCAAGTTAGGTGCGAAAGACGCAAACCTGCCCGGCACCCCTTTGCTGGAGAAGCGGGTCTGACCCGGCAGCCCGTCGTCTCGGCCTGTCGCGCTCGGTTTCTGTGCGTCCACGCGGGCAGGACCCTTCGCTGCCGGTCTGCGCCCCGACATTCAGACCTTCTGGAGGGAACCCCAGCGACCCCTTGTCGGTGCGGGAACCCCTGGGTAGCTCCAGCGCCTGCAGGTGTGATGGCAACTGGCAGCCAAACAGCACGTTGGACTGGGGAACCACTTGACGTGATGAGACATCCCGGGAAGGAATAGACCGGCTTGCTGTGAGCCCGCCCCCCCCCAGCCTTTTGCCCCCACCTTTATCCCCCCCCACTTTTGCCCACACCTTTACCCCTGCTGCCCGCTCCACCGCGCCCATTTCCTTCGGCTGGCAGGGCTGTCCCGGTACCCGCCATCTGCGCGAATAGGTCTTAGGTGTCAAGCGCAGTAGCAGGTGCCTGGCGCCAAGGTCCAGGTGGAGCTGTGCACCTGGAGGATGAGGACGCGCGCGGACAGATGCTTTGAGGCTATTGGTTGAACAAAGAACTCGTGGAGGGTGCCTGAGTCTAAAATCCTTTCTCCGCCGAGGTTTTAGGGCGAGGAGACGGCTCTTAGCATCAGGCAGCTGCAGCTATTTTGCTTGATTGCTTTGCTGGTTGTGAACTCAGTTCTGGAGTCACCCCCGAAGCACCCCTCAGGAAAATCTGGCCCTTTGGGAGCGATGCATCCTTTTGAATCGACAAGATCGGTCTTTTAAACAAACTTGTACATGTTATTTGAACACCTCTGCCATCCTAGGTGTTTTTCTACACTACCTGAAACAACCCATTTGATCTCTCAGCTGAGGGCAGTTCTGTCCTCAATCAGGCATCCCCTGATAAGTCTGTTTTCTTATTTCGGTGCGTTGTTTTCATTAAAACAGCAGCTAGAACAAAATAGCTCACTTAGCAGCAGCTACTACCGCTGAAGTCCTGGCTTGAGGTTGTGTATTGGGGAAGCGGGTACAGTGAGGATACTCAGCTGTGGAGTCCTTGCTGGTGGGGTTAGATTGTCCCCCTAGTAGCATCATTTTGACTGATAAGTGAATGTTGATGCCCCCCCCCCACCTTATGCCTGGAACTACCCTCCCACCCCATTTTCTCAATATTTCTATTACCTGCTGGACGCAAAATGTTAACTAGAAAATATTATGTTTGTAGAATCTCCTGTGTGTCTTCTCATTTGAAGAACTTTCCAGATTATCCTTAGCTGAAGTAGCATTTCACCAGGATGTAGGAGGAAGCTGAAGCTCTCCTTCCAGAGAAGGAAATGGTTGTGTTTATGTGTGTTTTCTGTTTGATACACGTGATCCAAAAAAAGGAGGCAGAATGGCAAGCTCCCTCTTTTGGAAGACATTCTGGATTGTTTGCTCTTTGCTAGTACTTTTCTCTAGCTGTGGTTTAAGATGAAGAGGGAATCTCAGCAGCACCTACCCTGGACACATCCGTGGTGCTGGAGAACAGAAGTGCTAAATGCCTTTGATACTTGCAGGAAGAAAAAGTCATATGAAAATATTATTTTGAATTAGCATCTCCTAACAGACGGCATTCCCATATGAATTCAGTGTCTTACTTTTCTTGTCTCTGTTGTGTTGGTCATAGGTTTATTTGAACTGTTTTGTTTATTTTATTTATATAATTAAATGAAATATTAAACTGTTTCTTTTAACATTGAGGTCTTCTTCCCACTAAAGATACTCATCCTCCAATTGAGGAAACCACACATGCTTTGTAAATGCCTTTTAAATTTTTAATTTATATATGATCTATAACATCAGCTTGACTGAGTAGAGATTGGATAGCATACTTTCTAAAATTACCCTCAATCTCAGGAGAGAACATGTTCATATATGTTATGATATTTGTATAACATCTGTATATAAATTATAAGAATACATATATTATTGTTCTTTAGAATAATATAAATATATTTGACGGATATGCTTTTAGTGACTAAAGCTAATACGTTTAAATTTAATATTTGTTTTATTCAACAGTATATTCTCAGTGTTTTCTTGCATTTCTTGTCCACAAGTGGTTAATGCCTGAGATGTCTTGCTAAAATGCCATTTTAATAATATGAGAAGGAAAAAGCTTTTTACAGTTTCTTCCTACATTTGTGACTTTTACATCTTTTGAAAACTATGTTACTCAGTTTAAAATTATTGAAATGGTGAGAACAGTCATTTAAGCTGTTTCTCAGATTTCCCTCACCTTTGTTCTCTACCCTGCTCCAATTCTTTTAAGCCTATTGAGCTCCTAAGGATGTTTGGATGAGAAATGTAAAAAAGGAGAGAAGGTGTAAATGTGATTAGAATTACAGATTTCTCTGTGTTCTGATTTTATTTCCTAAGTAGTAGTCAAGGTGCCCTGTGCTCTTGTTTATTTATTTAAAAAAGAACCGTTAGTGAAAGTGTCTCTTAAAGGTCTTTTATTTTATTTATTGGGGAGGAGGGATAATGCTTTCCCATTGAAATTCTCTTCACACGTACATTGTTCACAATGCATTATTTCCCTTTTTTCCCAAGAAGATAATTCAGAAAAGAGAAGCTTGTTAAAATCCAAGACCACATTCAGATAATTTATATACCAACTAATTTTAAAAATGTGGATGTTTATTGATACAGAGTAGTTGTTGAAAGATAACTTTTTCTTGGTAGCTTTTGGCTATGTATGGGATAATAAAAATAAACTTGAAGTGGCAAAATGCAATTCTAATACTATAGTGCACTTAAGTAGTGCTCTATAGTTTTTTTTTTTTTAACTGCTTTCACTAAATCGAATTTTATAATGCCTTCAAGGACAGTGTCGTTCCATCTCACAACCAAGAGAAGTCATCTTACTTAGAACCTGGGGTTTTCAGTTTATAGACTTTGGGGTTCAGAAATTGCTTCTGCCTCCTGTAGTTTTGTGTCTTAGGTCAGCCAGCTGTCTTTGAACCTCTGTTTCCTCACCTGTAATATGAGAATTATGAGTTCTGAAATGGTTGCTGAATAGATGAAATAATGTCTGTATGTCACATAACACAATTCCAGGCACTTAGTAAATGCTCAAAAATATGGATCCTTATCCTTGCAATTTTTTATTGAGTGTCTTGATTTTGACTCAACTTGGCTTTAAGGGTGAATTTTTTACTTTTGATCACCGTATAGTAGATGTTTTTATAATTTTTTTTAAGACCCAAATGATTGCTTCAGAACTTGGGCAATCTGTTTATTATCTGAAGTGGTATTTATTAGCTGATAATAAATGAGAAAGAAATGAGGCTGACATAATGATGCCTGCAGCACCCATGGCCCCTACCCACCTGTGTGTGCTCAGGAAGAGGAGTGGCCTCCAGGGTGGTTAGGGATTCACACAATTCGATTGGAGTCACTCAATGACTATACACTAAAATTGGGACTCTTTTTTGTTTCTCATAAACTAATCCCTTTAGCTGCTTGTCTTTTACCAACTATATAGTATTCCACTGACTACTGTATCTTAAATTTAATTCTCTTGTTGAAAACATAACTATCCAATATTCACTACCATCAAGTCGTGTGGACAAGATCATAAAAGGCAAAACTGCCAAACTTTTCCTCCATTTTGCACATGATCTACAGTTAACTCTACATAAGGGTTTTCATTGTTAGCACCACTGACATTTGGGACTGGATAATTCTTTTGTAGGGTGTTTAGAAGCCTCTCTGGTCTTCACCCACTGGATGCCAGTAACATTGTCTTCCTCCCAGATAGGACAACCAAAAACATCTATAGATGTTTGCCTAGTCATCCTGGTTGAGAACCATAAGCATAAACTGTCAGCCTGTGGCTACTTAACACACACATACACACCCCACACCTCATTATGTAGTCGACTCGTTTATATGTTTGCATACTTTGGCTTAAATGTCAACTTTAGATTCCCTTCTCAAGGTTCCCTGAACTATGTCCTCCAAGACCCTCAGTTATTATTACAGTGACCCTTTTGTTTCTTTTTTGACACTTAGGATGGTACCATATTTCTTTTTCTTCTTTGTACTGTTGATCTTTCGCCACTAGATTGTGTGCATGATGAGACCAGAGAACATGTCTGATGGGCTGTTTTATGGGCATATGACCTGTGTAGTCACATAGGACCCTGCACTCAGAAGACCAGGGCTTGGTCTAATAGTCTGTGGTTACCATCTTGATGTTTGAGCAAAGGGTCCCACATTTTCATTTTTGCATCAGGTCCTACAAATTTTGTGGGCACTCTTGTTGTGTACATTATTCATTGTAGACTTTGTGGTGCCTGGAACACAGTAAGAGTTGAAATATTTGTTGAGTAATTTAGTAAGGTTTCAAGGAGCATCTTATTGCAACTTTCGAACCTCACTGATTCTTCATTTGAAATCTAAAAGTCGCTCCACGAGTAGTGAACATTTAGTATGCTGTTATCTGTAGCTTTTGTTGTATATTATATCAATGGGTTAAAGACTGAATTCTATTTTTTAACTTCTTCACTGAAGGCTGAAATTAGAAAATGATTCAGTTTTGCCATCT